TCGCTTGCGCTTTTACTTATAACTTTGGCCACGGTCATATGAGTTGACAGTTGTGTGCTGTTGTGTGTTGTTGTTGCTGTTGTTGTTATGGTAGCCACTGCCACTGCCACTGCCACTGTCAGTGGCTGGCAAATTGCTATCAATAAATATTGGAACTACATACACAGCCTATATCTGCTGCCCTAATTCCAAGTATTCGTTTAATTGGGGCACGCAAAAATCTGGCAATAAAAATCATGATATCTAAGGCATTTTGGGCATGCTCGAGGATTTATCACCAGCCGACTTGCGAGAGTGGGTGTTGGGCGTAGGAGGGCGGCAGCATCTGCCAATTGTCACCAATGCAATCAGCGTGCTTATTGATTTGGAAAATTAAATATTTTTCTTGGCACTCGCGCGCGCGCATGCCAACAACATCGTTGAAGTATGGAAGTATGTATCCATAAATTAGTCCGGTGATTTGTTGCTTTTACAGCAAACATTTTTTAAATTGCATCGAGTGTTTATAAGATTTCCGACCCAATGATATTTTAATTAGGCTTTGTCGTAGAGGGTGGTGGTGGTGGTGCAGTGGTGGTAGAATATGCACCCACACACATTGTTTTAATTTCCGTTATGCAGGAACGCGGCTAAAAGCAAAAGCATGTATCACAAAATAGCAACGAAAAGAGAGCAGAAAACAGAGGAAGGTGTACAGAAAAAAAAACTATACTCGTATCCTGCTTACTTAACGGAAATATATAAATTTCATTTTCGCTAAGGAACCCAAGCAGCGGCTTAATGCGATGCGAGTGGAAGCTGGAGGCTGTCGGCGATGTTGCAGCAAGATGTTGTGCTAAATTTCACACACGTATACACTCACACACACACACACACATGCACACCGTTATAGGTGGATGCACAACACAGCTGCCTGCCACAACTGCAACAACTGCCAGGCGACAAACTTTTCGCTCACAATGTAACTAACGATGCAGAACAACTATAATAAAAACAACACCGATATTGAGGAATGACAAAGAAAATATTATAGCAAATAATTTGAGTACAAAGTTAAAAGTTTGTTCAGTTATTAAATTGAAAGTCTATTTCAAAAGATTATATTAAAATTGTATGAAAATGAATCGCAAAACTGACTGATTAAAAGGAATTTTGTTTTTTCTTTTACAGATTGATTTTAATTTTTTGTAAATAAAGCGCTTAGTTATTTCTAATATCAATCAGAAAAAGGCTAGACATGTTCTTAATTTTATAGAGAGAGTGGAATTATTTAGTATATAGTACGGGTTTAATTATTTTGCATGTAAGTGTAATATAACAATTTTTTTAGGGCTTTGAGAGATTAAGATTAAACTGAATTCATTGATAAAACTGACATCTAAACGACAGCGCAGTGCAAATTGGTTTTTAAAATATAAAATTATTGTTTAGACCATTGATACTAAAAAGGCCACATAATCCACAATTTAGTTGAGTCTGCTGCCAGAATGAATAATAATCCAACTGGTCTGCAAAGTCTTCCAGTTTTTTAAAAACAAAAATATCTTTGAAATGTAATATTTGTTTTCAATTTCTTGTACTAATATTGTATTTATAGAAAACACAAATAGTTGCACAATTACATTCAACTATATTGTAAAAATCATACAACTTATGGTTTGCCTTAGTCACATAATTATAAAGATTACTGCATTATTCTGTAAATGCAGAATTATTTTGCACATTTTGGCCCTTGTCTGGTGATAATCCAAATACACACACAGCCCGCCATTTACCACTAAAACTCGCTTCGGCTAAATGAAAGTGTTAAGAACGCTTTTGGTCGCCGTTCGTTTTCGTCTGCCATTCTTTTACATCTTCAGAGAAAAGCACTTTACACTAATGCACCTTAAAATTTAAACGTGTCATAACATAAACATTTATCCCGGCACCAAACGACAAGACAGCCGGGACAGGTATCCATTTTCCCGGCTGCGGTTGCCGCCAACTTTGGATTGCGAAATAATGCATGGTACGTGTGGCCAGTGACCATATAAAGAGTAACTGGATGGCAGAATAAATAAATGGCATGGACTCCGTCCACCACAGCTTACCTTTTGATGGTAATTGAAAAATTGTAAATATTTAAAATAAATATATAAATTAAATATAAAATCAACGAGGCAGATACTAGGACTGCCAGCGATAGCCTTAATCCTGTGTTTAAACTTATTTGATAGCAAATTTAATTTAGAGATTTATCATTTGCTTAAACTTTAGTAAACTAAACGATTCATTATTAAATTATAGGGTTTTAGCTACCTCTAATGTACATACTAGCACCAAACTAACTAGTCCTTTTATTCCCAACCGCTTCATTTGTGATTAGGATCACATCAACTAATTCAATAATGCACTATATACATATATCTTCTTATACAAGTATATACTTATGTTTTCATTTTCATGAATCTATAAATGGCTTCCATTACAATCCATATTGAAAAAGCCACAAATGTTGGCCAAGATTGCCTTCTCGACTATAACTTTCTTGAAATATGTGCTATTCAGATAAAATTTAAAATATTTTGGTGGCTCTAGCTCGTATGCTTTCAAAGGAACAGATAGCGCAGGCATGCTTTTTATGCTGATGAGGAATTTGCGAAGTTTGTAACACTCTTATTCCCCCTTGAGCATAATGCACAGATAGTAGCTCAATAATCATTTAAGCTATCTGGATAAATTGTTCATAAAACAGTCTTGCTGGCAATCGCAGAAAAGAGGCATTTCTTAAAATTTTTAGACAAATTGAAATATTTACTCTAGATAACACATTCAAAATGAAATACATAGAAATACTTTGCCCGATTTTAACTGATTTGAAGAACAAACAAAACTAAGTAACAAAATTATTGGCTTTCTGCCGATAACCTTTGGCAATTATTCGGCATGCTTTCGGTAATGGCTATTAAGTTAAATAAAAAAGCAAATAAAAAACATTTTATTATGAAATTTGATAAAAGAAAATCCTCCTTCCTTATCAACTATTGTTTGGGGCAATTCTCAAACTTATGCCTATAAGAGCTAAGAAAATTCTGTGTTAGTGAACAGTGTTTCGGTCAATTTTTAGTAAAGCCAATACAAGTCCTTGGCGATTGAAAGACTTCTGAGTAAGAAAGAGGGAGAAGGAGCGCTCAAAGCCTGAGTTCAGCACGTATAAGTTCGCATAAAGTTTAAATAATATTGTTAATAATATATTTCAATCACTTAATACTTGTAACATAAGTATTGGCCGCTAATTTATGTAAAATTTCATAAATGGATAAACGTCGATAGTATAGTTCAACCTTTGAACTCAATGGGAAAGTTAGTTTAGTACGCTTTGCTTTATACTTTAATTTTAAAAGTTGACCAAAAGAATCTCCGTAGCTTCAACCACGAAGATTATCATATAAAAGCTATTAGATCCTTTTTCGGACTTCCCGTCATCAAAAATCCAAGAAATTTCGTTTAAAAAATCCGTTTTATTTCATTTGTGGTCCAACCTTTTGTATCAGTTAAGTAACTTTTATATACAGACTTCTAGCAATGACAAATTATGAAATAATTGTGATTAATTGGTTGCTGTGGTGTTGCCTGTTCTCCCCGTCATCTTATCAATGCAAATCTGACGATCTTCGCACCAATGCAGATTTCCAAAACCGAACTCGTTAGTCTTAAACGTTTTTAAAATCTTTCTACAGACGGTTTTGCTGGGATTCCTTTCGGTTGTGTACGCAATAACCGTGTCCTCTGCAATCCAATTGGGAATATAGCAAATCTCTTCACATCTTACTTAGCTACTTACTGTACAGACGGGACTTGACACTGCTGCAAGTAAGCTCCACCACGTATTTCTTATTATCGGTGTCCAGTACCGCACTCTTTTCGGTATCATCGGTCAGTTCTTTTTCGATTGGATAATCGATAAGCCCACAGGCCAGTTTGACATCCTCCAAGGTCCAGATAGCTGATTCATACATGCGTCCTTTTAACTTCACCTACGGAATTGTTTTGGTGCATGTAGGATTTTATAACACAATCCCCCCACTTCTCACTACACTTACGTTCAATATTTTTCTTCTGGGACAGTAATTAGCTTTGCACAAACAAATTACGCACAAAAATGTGACTATAAATATACTAATGGTGGTACTGGTTACGTATTGCGTGTCTTGAGGTCCTTTCGAATGACTTACCTGCACAGCTTCAACATGGTGTTTGCCGGAATTGAAACTGGACAGTAATTTACTTCGAGCAAAATGTGTAACAAATGCTTTTTGTATGGTGGAAATATTAATGTAACGCTTGTAAGATGGAAATCTTTCCAGTTTTACAAACTGAAACCAAAATTTAGAGGCATACACGTTTTCTAAAACGTTCTTAATGTGTACAACGTGTCTGTCCCGACCGTTTGTCCGTTTATCTGTATGCATTTTTTCCGATGTTACCGGAAGAGGGGAGAAGCGATCTCTCGCTTTAACTGATTTTCTATAATTCGTAACTCTTTGAGTTCCACAAATTCATCCAGTTATCCTTTTGTCAAGTTTAATTCAGATGGAGCAACACTTAGGGAGTTATACTAGTCACAAATGTATCCCTGCCCATGCTTTGTCAGCAATTGTTGTTGTTGTTATTGCTGTCCTACTCTACACTTAACGCAAAAGCCGAGACACACAAAACATTCAAAATATTATACAATAACAAAAAAACAAATCAAGCAATCAATAAATGTTTCAATCAGTTATATAATATTATTTATTTATTTTATTAATTTGAAATAATTTTCATTGAAAGAAAAAAACGTATTTTGTATATCCTGTAAATTTATATTAGGATTATGAAAAAATAAATAAATGTTTGGACCAGGTATATAATTATTTATTTATTTTATTAATTTGAAATAATTTTCACTGCAAGAAAAATATTATTTTGTATACCCTGTAAGGTTATATTAGGATTATGAAAAGCTTTAACGACCCTTTGAAGTATATACTCATATATTCTTTATTAGTTTGACGAGAGAAATCGATTGAAATATTTTCGTCCATCTGTCTGGATGAACGCCTAGAGTTCGGAATTCAGATTTCTTAATGGCACAACTGTAGTTGTTTCTTCTTAAATCCAAGCTTCTTCAGATCGTGTTCAATGCGCTGCTTTAGGTCTAAGCCCATTTTTCTCTTTGTATAAATCATTATTGTGTCCTCTACAATGATGGAACAATTTAATAAAATACTTTCCACATTGTGTTCAACTTACTAAATTTCAGATCCTTTGTCTCACTGCATGTAAGCTCAGCTACATAAAATTTATTATCTGTTGCCAATACCTGTGTTAATTGTACTTTTTGTGCGGCAGCATCAGTTTCAGCAACTTCAATTTTAATTGGATAGTTTACTCTAGCGCACTTTAAATACTCTTTTTCGTTGGTCCAGATGGCTGACTCGTACAGATTACCTTTTAATTTGGTCTTTTTCGAAGTAAAGATTGGTTTAAAAATTATACACCAAACTAAATGTTTTAATATTCACTTTTACTATTGGCCTTCGAGAACACTGACCAACCGCCAGGACGAGGCTTGGCAAATATATTAAAAATACTGCTGCTGCACGCCTAAAAAGATTGTCCAATGCTGAAGCTGTGCCACTTGATTTATCGCCGAGGGGAACTTACCCGAACATGATGTACAGACTTATTGTTAGTACGAAAATGAAAAAAAGTTGTTCAAAATAACAAGAAATAATACCGTTTTAAATGGGCATTAGGCATACACCATGTGTGCTCAGGTGTGTTAAATTGCATGGAAATGCTCATTGTTTAAAGTGTGTCTAGTTCCTCCAATAATTAATGATGAAAACATCTTATTTGTGATGAAAGAAAATTGCAAACAGCTGAATTAAACAATTACCCCCTCATTTCGTGCCAGCGTAAACTCGATTTGTAGCTAACTAATTCGTTAGATGGTCTACGATAACTATTAATTTGCTCCTCCGTTGGTATTAAATATCCAAACATGAGCTTTCCCTTTAGTTACAATAACAAAGCATAATAAAAACTATAGTATGTTATTAACAATTGCTGTAAAAATGTGTACGAATGGGTTTTGGTCAAGCAAGCTAATCTCTTCCAAGCTAATATCTTCATTTATTTATTTTTTATTTAATAAATCAACAATTTCTGCTGTCGATACAGATTACTATAAGATATTTTATATAGTATAACAAACTTTGTGAAAAACCAACCATAAATTTGTATATATTTTTATAAAAATAATATAAAACTGCATATAATTGTTTTCAGTGTTTGAATTTGTCAATTTCATTTTAAACAGCTTTTTAGCGCACTTTAAGATATTTCAAAAAAACATTATACTCTAGAAGAACACTGTTTGAAATTAAGCAAATTGGAATTGAGCAATTAGGTAGAATTAATACTAAAACTTTAAATAGGTTCAATAGATTTTATCCATGATACACACATTTTAAAACAATTATTTGTTGCGTAAAATAAATGTTTTAGACTCCTCAAAAACATATAATTTTTAAACAAAATTTACGATCTAGTTGGTCGCTTTCATTGCCTGTTAAAATGGAGAAACTCCAGCAGTACCGTTCTTACTTTGATTCAAATAGCTTACATAAGTCTGTTCGCATTGTTATCATTGTTATAATTACTTAAGATAAAATACTCTCTAAAGCTAAAGTCTCATCGCTCACTTGAGCTAATTATAGCTTCCTGAACAACATTAATCTGGAGACATTAATCGTTTCGTTTTTTTTTTAACAGCTAAAAATAATTCTCTTCACATATATTGGACACATTTTAAAAGAATCACGCCCAATCAAACAAACGTCATGTTATTCATATCAACAGGCATTAGCCTGGGCTAGCGCTAAATTTTTGGAGCATTTCCTAAATTTGTTTGTTTTTTTTTTTTGTTAAATCAGAAATCCCTGAAAGTACTTGCGAAAAAAGCTTTCAAGTTGGCGCTAATTGATTCCCACACTTCCTACACACTTAAAAAAAGGAAAACACTTCTAAATACAGAATTAAGAATACAAAAACAAAACGTCAGCTCATAAATACAAGAATTTTCGACGTCTACCCCTCGGCTGGCAGGCGAACGTCGAAAGTTATAAGCCTAAGTGCCATCCGTTGCCGCCGCCCCCAGTGTGTGTGTTGTGGGCAAATGTTTAATTTATTTCAATTTTACTTTTAATTTAGGCACTAATCTAGGCAATTTGTACACTTACACGCCATTAAGCGAGACAGCGCTAAGAGCTCAGGGTGCAAAATGCAAAAACAACACCAGCAAAAAAAAAAAAAAAAAAAAGAAAAATGAAAAAATGAAGAAAACTCAAGTCCTCAAATTAAGCACGTTCCCACACATTCTTTAGAGGCACAGGACGCCAGGACACCAGCACGCTGGCAGCCTGCGAGCCTTGGTGCTGGGAACCCTTGGCATAGAGGGGGCGTGTTGGGGGGCGCTGTGTGTTCGGTTTGGTTGTCCAAGTGAATAAGCACGCAGGAATATTTATTTGTTTTCATTTATTTTCAATAATTTCAAATTTCCATTACATTAGTTTTGCTTTCTTGCTCGCTCGCTTGCCCGCCACCGCCCCCTCGTCCAGCCAGCGACAGCCATCATTATTTGGCTCTTATTATTTTCTTTATGCTTTCGCACGAAAAACAAACAAATTTTCCGATTTTCTAAGTGCCATGGCACCGCATTTACTTTTATTATTGCTGCTGCGTGTGTGTGTGTGTGTGTGTGCGTGCGTAAAAATTACAGCAGCAGCAGTAGCAGTAGCGTGAAAAACTAAACTCAATTCTCACCCTAAAGCAGCAGAAAGTACAAAACCCACACACTCTCAAGTGTTTGTGTAGGTGTGTGAGTGTGTAAGTATGTATGTAAGCATGGATCTAAAAATATTAGACCTTCTACTTGGCACTCCCAGACGCGTTATAAAACTTTTCTCATTTCTAGTTGAGCAAACATCAACAACAACAACAACAACAACAACAACAAGAATGCTGCGACGACGCCAACAACAAGCTCGAACTATCCATAACCATAACCCATGTGACATTTGGCACTTTCCCTGAAATTTGCACATCTTTAGAGCTGACATCGATTTGTCTCCCCCTCTGCTGTCATACAGCTTCCGTTTTCCGTCCACTTGTTGTCCATCTTCCGGTCGAGACTGGGAACTTTGCTCCCCATTACAAAATTTGTCAGATAAGAACATTTTGAACTCACGGGGGGCTGTTGTTGGAAAATTGCCTTCAACATTCCATCGCTGTGCAACTGAATTACTTAATAGAATTAATACTAGTACACTAGCAGAAAAACGCTTTCTTAGTAAGCGCAAGTATATTATTATTAGTTTTCTTGAAATCACGACGGTTTATTAAAACAAAATTCAATATGAAAAGTAAGTTATAAGCAAAAAAAAAAAAATAGTTGGACCTAAGATTCTTCTTCTTACTCGCAGGAGGCGTGGCAGACCCCACTCAGATATAGATATACTTATTACCAGATGGAAAGAACTGTACCTGAAGACATGCTTCTCTGGCTGTCTGTTGAGCAACCAATCTTGTTAAGCTTCTTCTCTAAGTTGTGGTGCAGAGATTTCGATAAAATAGATTTTGTTGAGTTGGAATATAAAATTTAAAAACAAATACTTTAAATTTGTCATTGAAGATTTATTTGAGATTATCTTGAATTTTGCAATTCTCGAATTGAGACAAGTACGAAGAGCTTTAACACTAGAATGAGGATTAAAAATGATCATAAAAGACTGATAACTCACAAGATTTCAATCATTAAATCAGTATAACTCTAGCAATCACATCGATAGATAGATAGATTTATAGATAGATAGATGGATAGATAGATAGATTTATAGATAGATAGATAGATAGATAGATAGATAGATAGATAGATAGTTAGATAGATAGATAGATAGATAGATAGATAGATAGATAGATAGATAGATAGATAGATAGATAGATAGATAGATAGATAGATGGATAGATAGATAGATAGATAGATAGATAGATAGATAGATAGATAGATAGATAGGTAGATAGATAGATAGATAGATAGATAGATAGATAGATAGATAGATAGATAGATAGATAGATAGATAGATAGATAGATAGATAGATAGATAGATAGATAGATAGATAGATAGATAGATAGATAGATAGATAGATAGATAGATAGATAGATAGATTTATAGATAGATAGATGGATAGATAGGTAGATATGTAGATAGATAGATTTACGTTTTCAGCCACATCGCAGTATTTCAAATATTTTATATACCTTATTCATTTGGATTTGCGAACGAATATTTTAGCTATTTTCAATCATATTTTCCGAATATCTCAAGAATAGATCTACGCGTACAAAGCTCCATCCAATAGAGAACTGGCTTTCTTTTGTAATCAGTTTTATAGATGTTCCTACTTGAATGTCCACTATAATCTACTATCAATATAGAAAGGTTAAATGATTGGACCTTAATTAATTGCTTAGAACATACATTCATCATTTTAAAAGTTCTCACTTTTCTTTAGTAAATGACAGGTATAAGCTGAGAACAAAAAATCGTATTTCTATTGATATTCAAATTTAAATTATTTAAATTATATTATTTGTAAATACTTATAAGCTTTGCTTGCATTTAATTCAAAGTTAACTTTACTCACAGCTTGATTTGTAAATAAATTTTGGTTGTCACTCAAATAGAAGCAATTAAAATTCCCAACAAATCTATGACAATTATCAGACATTTTCGTTATTAATTTCTAGAACCAGCCACAACATCTTAACAAGAGATAATGGCAAGTCATGCAAATGTCATTCCAGGGCCAAAAGCAGCAGCAACAACAACAATAGCAACAACATTAAATCGTATTTCAAATCATGCACATGCTAACTACTCGAAACAAGCAATAATTCACCTAATGATGTGCGGTCATGGCAACTAGTCAGCCATGTTACCGTGAGTCCCTGGGGAGTAGCTAATAGCTCTCTCCCCGAACACCCTACACTCCCGGTATGGGCCGACCCGACCCAACCCGACCCAACCCGACCCACCCGTTCAACCCATTCTGATCAATTTAAAAATGCAGCAATGCATGATTTTGATGCTATGTTTGCGGTTCGGGGAAACAACTGAATTGTGGGCGGGGGTGGAGGTAAGATTGCTCGATGAGCACTTTGTGATTTTTGTAGCGTGCATTTTGTGTCGTTACATCATCGTGCAGTGGACCAGGACCAGGAGCAGGAGCAGGAGGATTGAACACACTCATAAAAAGGCCAATAAAGTGTGGTTTGAAGTTTTGGCCAAATGGATTTCGGCACTCGGTTGCAGCAGCAATCGCCTTTACTAGAACGCAACTGAACTGGCCTGGGATGTAGGAGTCGGTGCTCAAAGAAATCTCATCAACGTTTAATAAGTGGCCATAGATTTGCGTTATATTGCAGCCACTGCCAACAAATCGAAATCGTCTCATTGGTATTGATCAGAATACGAGCATGTGTGCTCAGAGCTGTAATTGCAATTGGGCTTGGTATGCAGTTTGCCAATTCAAAATTTAGTTGAAACATCTCGAGCGTAACTTATGAGAAGACACCTTCAATATTTGATCTAGGCGGAAAATTTCGAAATGGATTTTGTTTAGGAAGTTAATTCA